GTACGAATATAAAATAGAAGGGAAATAAAAATTATATTATTGGCAGCCATTCAACTTTATTCCAAGGAACGACAACTCTTGTGTGCACGACTTAAATCAGGCATGAACGAGTCAATATGTTCATATAGACATATGTACGTGCAAGAGACTTGAGAATATAACTTCATACACTCACGTAGCATAGCATTTTATCCGCTTCCCTTTTACATACAAGAGTGCATGCATTCATAAATACATTCCTACATACATATATCTAATGGGGTAAGGAAAGGTTATTTTATAAGTACAATGCAACAAGTCGAATAAATATTATCTAAAAGGGAGAACGAAAATGGCAAAAACCGAAACGAAGGGCAAGCAAAATTATCATTTTTGTTTTTGTTTTTTTTTCTTTTGCTTACACTAACAAACAAACAGATATAGATGATTCTTGTAACTAGTGCTATGTTGGGTATGCCGGAATGCTAAAGTAAATAATGCTTTTGTTGTTTTGCTGTTGCTTTATTAACATTTAAATATTTAAATTGTACAAAAATATTAATTCTAAGCATTTATGAGACAATTTTTCTGTATTCCATAAATTATTAAGGATTCACCGTAATCACCTTAACTTAATTCTTGTTCTTGTTTTTTTTTTTTTTTTATACATAATTATCATCATTTCATTTTTCAATTTATTTATTATAAATAGTCATACACACATACATACAAGCAAGCATTACGTACATCGATTTAATTGAATTCTCTTGAAAATTAAATTACAGACGATTAATGCTATTGATACACTCGGCTGAGTTTAAATTCTTTATATATGCAGTTGGGATTAGCTTAGGGACCGGAATAGCAAAGAGCATAATACTAGGTAGGTAGGAGAAAACAAAAGAAAAATGTTTTATTTTACTTCTCGTTTACCATCTCGTTTACTTTCTTCTTTCTTCTTTTCTATCTGAAGCTTTCCACTCAAATGTAACTTTAAGTCATGATATTCCTTAGTTGGCTTAGTTATGAAGCTGCTTAGCTTGGCCATGGTGCTTATATGGGATAAGTTAAATGGTTTCGTTTCCGTTTTACATGACATCCAGCGGTGCTATTTGACTTTACTGATCTCATTAAATACGAGTAAAATTAAAAGAGAAATTAATGTCATAGCTCATATATATGATAAATAGCTTGAGCATAGTTTGAGAGTGAATTGCGGGTCGTATATCTTATCTTACGTAATCCGATAATTATACCCACCAACGAAGAAGCGGTTTATGTACGTTTTGTCATAATGTTTGCAGCATCTAAAAGAAAAGTTCAGAGAGCAAATTCTGGGACGACCTAGGAAAGTCCGTTCGTCCGTTCGTTTGAAAATTTATATGAATGGCTGAATATGTTATAGCTATGTTTTTATGTTTGCTTGTATGTGCTTATGTCTGCGTATACCTAAGTATATATATATATATATATTATTTTTCATAATAGCGTACTGGCAGTACGCTTGTCTTGAGATCAAACTATCTCGGAACCGCATTACCTCGGGATGGACTCTTATATTTACTATATCATTCTACCTCACCCGTCCTCGCAGGGTCAGTGATCTGAAAAGCCTGTTCCTCACATCGTCATTTTAGCCTTGGCGTAGATCGCGTACGTTATCTGCTCGCAAGTTAAAACGGCACTCGAAAAATAGCCATGGCTAACGAAAAATTGGGTTGGTAACAAATTAATTTCTCAGTGTCCCCTTTTTAGTGATTGTTCTACGTTCCTCTCGAGTCGTTTTCCCATCGTAGCTGCCATTCCGTCAACATGACCTGCCAGATAGAAGTCTTAAATCGGTAGACATCGCTGCAATTTCCTGCGTCAGTAATTCTTTCCTCTTTGTCGCTACGGGCACATAATTGCTTCGTCAATAGTAACACGATGGATAATATATCCGCCAAGATTGCTGCCACTGCCGTTGAAACTGTGCGGTAGGCCGATTTCATTCTCAACATCTACGGCTTTTGAACCGCATCCAGTTTTCGCAGAAGATGTTAACTTTCTAATACCTTCTCTGCACAAGTGGATCCGGCATACATCATTTGCACGTACGCTATGCTGTTTTAATCGCGCCTGTTTTGACCCGTTCACGGATGGTCTAACTCTGCATAGAGTGGTTTGCAAATTGACAATGCTTCATCCCTAACTTTCTTAACATTTCCGCGAGTGCTGGTTTTCTATCTAATTGCACTCCTTGATATTTCAAATTAGAAGTGAATTGAATGCAATATCCATTCACCTTTTTTTTGACGATTAGAAGCATTGTGGCTTCAGTTTTCCCTACAGTAAGTTTGAGTTTGAAATTTTATAGCCATCTACGCTTATCGCTTACGCTAGCCTGAGCTATTATCTCTACCTGCGGGGTCGACGTTTGCTGCACAATCAGGGCAATGTTATCCGCATAACCTATCAATTTCGCTCCACTTGGAAGACCCGTCTTGAGCAACTCGTAGTGCATGATATGAAACTCTACACGAAATGACCTAGGGTAGGACCCTGTGGTCCCCCTGCTATAATCCTAGGTTCTCTTATTCCGTTGTTTGTATTTTACGGTGCACTGCTATGGCTGTCTATCATTTTAACCAAGTACGGAAAAAACTTTCGCTTGTTTCAGCATTTTATTTCGGTTTCCCGATCCGCTGTGCTAAAGACGTTTACCACTTCCGACGTCAGCACAGAACTCTTTTGCGTCCTTCTTTTTTTATTTTGCCGAGACCATTTTCTTAATGGCGTTAACTATAGATCGCCGTTCGATAGAGCCGAATTGGCGCCTAGAAAAGCCGCGCTGGCCCTTCAGCTGTTTTGCTAAACCCGCTCGTAGCATTTTTTCGAAAACTTTGCCCACATTGTTCAGGAGATAGATAGGTCTATAAGGAGGCGGGTTATCTAACGAATTGCCGTTGCTGGCATTTCCACAGTCTCGTATCTAAGTATAGATGTTTGTATACAGGTTATCTTAGTACGTTATTTTGTACGTTGGCCCCCTACTTTGTTTGTGTGCGTGTGCGCCTATTTATGTTTACATGTATGTACGTAGGTACATACGTGCCTGTATGTCTGGCTCCGTGTGTCTGTGCGTCTCCGTGTTTGTGTGGATGCACGCTGTTGATCCTAGTCACACAAAAAAGTTCATGTGAAAAATCGAACGGTTACAAGTTATCATCAAATTTTCACTTTTTTTTTTTTGCTTTTTTCACGTTTTCTACTTATTACCCACAAGACAAACAAGACGGAATGTTGAAAATTATTCTGGATACGTTACACATGCAAATACAATGTTTTTAGTTAGAACAAGCAAGGAAAGTATATTCGGTCGTGACCGAATCTTTTATACCCATCACCGTTGCCCTGAACCAGACAATAAGAGTGAAAGAACTACATTTTCATGCTCTATAAGATGGAGTGGGCGCGGCTGATTTCTTCTATTTTCAAAATAAAACTATTGTTGTAGGTGTGTCCTTTTAAAAATTTAATTCACTTCGAGATTCTTTAAGAATTTTGAAGGCGATATCTTCATTTTCGCTCGACATTCTTTTTGGCAAAAGACTTAAAAAGTAGGTTTACTTTGTCGAGTCCCTCAAGATTCTTTGCGTCCACAAACTTAAATTGTGATATATTGTAACATTGGGTGACTGGATTGTCCGGTAGTCCCGGAACAATAGGATTTGCTATAGAAGGTATGTTTAAGTTCTTATAATTTTCTCAGCTGTGTGTGTGTTCTCGGTTTACATGGTACTAGTTATTTGGCCCATTTTCCATGCCCACCGGAGTACAAACAGTTCTAATATTTTCATCAAATTCGAAGTCGATTCTTTCTTTTTGCGACGAAGCATAGACGACACACGGACAATTGGACGGACGGGTATGCCTAAATCAACTGGAAATTTGATGCTTATCAAGGACATTTGATGTCTCTGAAGTTTCTTTTCAAGCAATGAAAACGTTTTGCTGAAATGAATACCTTCTTATGATTCGGTGTGGTGTGTATAACAAGATAATATGCATAAAATGAAAATTACGTATTAACAAGTAAGATGATTATATTCGGCCCGGGCCGAATCTCGAAAATATATATTATTCCATAAATATTTTTGGTTATATTATATACACACACACGCACCTTTATGTTCCTAAAAGTTAAATAAATGAAAGTTTTTTTTTAACGACTATTAGTAGTACAAGCTAACAAGTGCACAAAGTAAAGTAAAGTAAATAATCATATGTATGTCTAAACCTATGTTCGTTCATTCACTCATTTTTTTAAGCCTTAAGGGATTTTTCATATTTCATTAAACACTACTACACGTTCTCCAGTACAATGTATTATTATAAATATCGCATTAAGCTAAGTAAGAATAGAATTCAATCAATATAACTTCCAAACCAATATGTTTAACTCAACAAATATTTACATTCACGTTGTGAATGTGTCCTTGTCATTACATCACCAGCAGCACACAACTTTTAAATTTTACTTGCCTTAATGCACATGTCTTCTCTAATTTACAGATCCAGATACCGTTCATTATACACGAATGATTTTGTACAAAGAAAATAAGAAAGAAACAAAGTACATTAATTGAATGGTTTGGATTTGCGAGAATCACCAGTCAATCATGTGTTATGAATGAATAAAAGGAATAGCGAAAATCAAAGTGAATAAATGTAATCAATACGAAATCGTTAATAATACTTATATGGAAAAATTCATCTACCTAATCGTCTTCATTCTATTCAATGACAAGTAGTTTTCTGCTTATTTTTGCATAGAAAAGCGATATAAAGTGTTTTGCAGAGAATATCGTGGCCAAAACAGGCAACGCAAAAGCTTAAAGTTAACCGTGAAACCCCGATAGATAAAGTATGAGCATCGCCATCGTCATCATTGCTGCTATTGTTGTCAATTGTCGCGCATAGCAATTGAACAACACCAAAAAAAAAAAAAAAAAAAACAAAAAAAAAAACAAAACAAAACAAAAAACAGGAAACAGGAAGAACAAAAAATGTTTTATACAAAAAAAATCATCATTGTCAATAGCAACAACATCAATCAAGCGGACGTTGCCGTTATCGTTCACGTTATTAGATTGCTTTCACAAACACCCGCTAATCACAAAGAATCACTTTAACAACTAGTAAAGATATCGATAGATAATATAACAATAAAAATATATTCATCCATAAGAACCAAAGTCATTTGCGGTTAGTGAAAGCGCTTAGAATTTGGAAAAAAAAAAAAACAGAAAAAAAAACCCGGACGGAACACAAATGACACCTGCTTGACTCGTTTTTCGTGTTGTTGTTGCTTCAAATGGAAGGAGAAATTCATAAAAGGCCAGTAAGTGATCAAGATGATGAAGTGGAAGAGAATATTAACTTATGGAATTCGGAAGGCACGGACAGGGAAGAAAAGATGGAGGAGGAAAAGCACACCGGGGAGCCAGAGGAATCACAAGGTCCGCTTAAATCGGATAAAGCTGTTTCCACAGATGGCATCAATTCTTTGGAGGATTTGCAAAGGGCACTTACCTATGAGGCCATTTTTCACAGCCTCCTCGAGAAGAAAATGCAGGCTATGAAACGCGACTGCGAAGAGCGTAAGCGAGCTAAACGGCTTAAACGGAAATCTATTGGTAGAATGTTTTTTGCCCGGAAGCTATTCAGCAGTGTTGAATCGCGTCAAAATTCAACGCTTAGTGAAAGCGGCGAAGATCAATTGTGTTCGCGTACGGTACCCACATCACCACACAAGACAAAATCGCCTAAAACTGCCATAAGAGATAAGGCTTACAAACGCCGAAAATCTGATGAAATCGAAGTGGCATCGATTACATCCCTTACTCAAAGTCAAAGTCGTTCTCAGGGGTCGCGAACGAGAACCAAAGCGAAAACCACTGCCAGTGCTAAGAGATTACCACAATCTGCGCCTTTGGCTGATGATAGTGTGGCTAGCACTCTTAGCAATTCCTCAGAAAGACAAAGTGTCGACCAGAAATTGGCGCAACGGCATTTACTGGTCCACGCTCAGACTCATACGCCGATCGATGCGGCCGTTTCAAGTTCCTCGGGCGAATCGAAAAATGCCCCACACACCAATGGTATATTAACTAGCTCTGCTGTACCCTCCGCTTCCTTCGTTGAACGCAGCTATGATACAGCATCGTTAGGTAGTGGTTATGAAAATGGTACGGGCGCTCGTTTACATTCCTCCACTTTAGCTGACGGTAGTTTGACATCTATACGTGATAGCATTGAGAGCTTATCATTTGCTAGTTCCCGGTGCACGGTGAGTTTTGGCGCAACTGAAATCATTCCGGAAATCCATAGGGATACTTTGTTATACGATCGCATTCGAGCGGCAAAGCGTCAGCGTATACTTGAAGCCAAATCAATTAGTGCACAATGCAGCCCAGAGCTGCCGCCACGTCTTGTTTTAAAGACTCTTAGGGCGATGCCCGAAAACGATACAGCTTCTTCACTTACCATAACTGGAGAAGAAAATCAAAAAATGAAAGATATAAGACATATAACTGCCACTGCCCAGCAAACCAAACACGCCCTAAGAACTCAACCCGCAACTAGTGAAGTCGCCATAGCGTTACCACCTAGCAAGTCGATTGTGCTGCCGCAAAACTTACTGCGCGCCGATAGCGAAAATCGGTCGGAAAAAATTGAGAAAGAGCTTGCAGTACAATCACGCGACATAACACGTCAAAATACTTCAGAAGATAGTGCAAATTTAACAATAAGTACTTTGTTAAATCAGAGTGATTCGTTGTCATTGCACGGTTCAAGAGTTTGGCCTACAGTTGAATTGAATGTGCTTGACAAACCTGTAACATTGGGTGATCGTTTTAAATCAAAATCAACCAGTTTATTAGCCGTTTTGAGTAATGGCCGCGCCCGACCGCCACCCTTGCCACCACCACCCCTGGAATCCGCTACAGTTTCGCCAGCTGCTTTATTGTCGCCTACCACTCTCACACGTAGCGCATTAACCGTCGAACAGCTGCATCAACATCAAAGCGATTATCATCAACGTTTAGTGAATAGCCTTAAATCGTCAATGCCTCCCCAAACGTCGCCACCCTGTACTGAGACAACTGATTCGCCCCCGCAAACATTACATATTGTAACGATAGCTAGTTCGTCAGCTTCAACGCAACCATATCCTATGATTACTACAAGTTCCGGTGCTATGCCGATCGATATCGATGCACCACCAATGCTGTCAGAACAAATTTTACCGTTCCGCAATGGTACTGCCAGTGGCGCTATTGTTGCCACTGCGGCTCCATCAAGCGAAACGGCTAAATTGCATCGTATGACTTCAACGTCGACTGGTTCTAGTGTCGCGCCTATTGGCTGTTGTGCTACAAGTAAAACTTCTGCACGCGACAAAAGCAAGCAACGTATCAAACCTCTTGTACCAGCCGGCCAAAGCGGCAGTGATGATGAATATCGTGGTCGTAAACGTAAATACAGTAAGCGCATCCTATAAATAATTGCATAAAAGAAAATTTCATTTAATTTTGTCCTTTTGTTACTTTCATAGAACGTTATCATCGTTGTTCAGATCCAATATTAGTTTATCCCAAACCAAATGGCTTACAACATTGCATACTTGCTATGCCAACCAATGAGCCTGTGTAAGTATAAACAAAAAAAAGGAAAACGAGAAGGCGAAGGCGAAGGCGAAGGGAAACGAGAGCAAGAAAAATTGACGTTGATTAGCCATAAACCATAGATTACATCACTGTTAAATTATTTAAGCTTTTTCTAATGAAGACAAAATTCTTAACTATATAGAGATAGAAAGGAACGAAAAACTTTTATAAATTATCGTTTATAATAATATTGTTTTCTTCTTTCCATGTCTTTCTCTTTTGAACGCTTTGGCTTTTATTATGTTTGTCTGGGGACTTAATTATTGTATTATGACGAACGTCAAACAAACGCTGTAGACAATATCCTTACAGCGAAGAATACTCTTATGATACGCAACTGCAAATAGAGTCCGATAAAAACGATGACTTGGAAAAGATTGTACCAAGCAGCAGCACAAGACGAAGACATCGCAAGCATCGGTAAGTACTGTAATTAAATGAAATGATCAGAGACTCTTTTGCGGAAGACTCTTTAACGGACGTGTTAAGTGTTAAACATGTACAAGAATGACAGCGAATTCATTATTGATACTGATAAAGTATACTAATTTCGTTTCTCATTAACAAGGTGGGTCGTTAGCTATGAAGTAAGTTGAAAAAGGGAGTTCGTTAATAATCTAACTTTGGTTGCAACGGTCTGGTATGAAAAGGAATAAAAACTCTTCGATTAATAGTCGTATTCTGATCTTGTGACCGGGTCCTTAGTCATTGAAGACTACTATGGGTTTTCATGTTGTAACCCACATGGCCTTATATCAAATCTGGTATTGCGGAGTAGTAGTTAAGTCATAAGAAACATAAGCAAAAAAAGTGATTTCTTACTTGTAACGTGCCTGTGATGTTGTTCATAACGCGGCAGCAAATTACTTTTGCAAGCAAAACTTTGGTAAAATGATTTTTTGCTAAACAAACTTTGGGAAAATCAATTTGAAAACCAGAAAATTCATTTTCTGCAGAAGGAATGATAAGCGGATAAATGTTTGGCGCAAATTACCCGAATGTCTATAGCTTCGGATGCCTTTTAAAATTTACTCACCTTATCCTCAGTAAGCGAACTGACAATGTTTGTGACTTACATATTTATTATTAATAGTGCAGACAATCGGTACCATGACCTAAAATATCTACAGTACTCGCCCGTGCCCCGAATCCATCAGTTTTAGAATTTCTACTTTCATCTCTTTTTGGTTCGGAGCACCACTGTTGCTTGTTATGAAGTGCTCGCCAACTACTTGGCGTCTGATTATGTTATGCTTATCTGTATGAACACAACGTCCAGAAGGATATGAGATAAGTAAACCCTTTATTACATCGATATACGCGGATTTATCGGTTTGCAATAGTCTTTATATGCCACACCATTTATGGCTAAAGTATATTGATTTCTTTGCTGATGTAAGCAATATCTAGGACAACTTACGTTTATTATTATTATTAATTGCGAGGGGAATCCGTACCACGGTCGAGCAAATCTATTGGACTCGCTCTTGCCACTAGTCCTTCAGTTTTAACATTTGTACGAAGGCCGCCACCTTTTTGGTTCAGAATACCACACCGTGTCTGGCTCTGCAAATGGCCTAACATTCACATCGAATATGATGGGATAACTCACGCATTCTTTTGGCAGAATCTGTCGATCTGTCGGTATCGGAGATACGCAGATTTTTCAGGCGGAACCTTAGGAAATTATGACCCGTGATTAAACGTAGATCGCTTCTTGTTAGTTCCAATAGGTTTTTCCGGAAGTTTTTATAAATTTTTTTGCTTGAGGTTTCCCCGTACATTGCTTCCAATGGCAATCGGATTTTTTGCGTGCTCATTGCGATACCAGCTTATTAATATGGTTTTTTCGTACACCACGGACCACATTTCTGACTACGCCTTCCATAATAGAAGCAATCAATTTAAAATTTGAAAATTCAGTCAACACTTATTTTGAGTTAGATTGTGGTCGGTTAAATTCTACTTTAAATTCTTCTTTATGTTCAATTCAAATCGATACCGAACGAAAAACGTCTATAAATCTAGTTACGTGAATTAAATTAAATTAAATTTATTTATGTAATTGAATTCAATAAAATCTATCTTAATGAAAAGTTTGACTTATTAAGAGTAGATCCTATTCATTCTAGTTCGAATATTCATTTTCTTGGAATCAGTTGTATGTAATCCTCAGTTCGATTCACTTCAACTCAATTTAGTTACTTTCAGTTAAATTTGCTTAAAAATTAAATCTTGAATCTCTCGGCATTCATCGTTCAGTTCAGTTTAGCAAAATTCAATTCAATTCAATTAGATAGATTCAATGCGATTGAAGGGCATTTTTATAACTGTCTTTATTGTTTGAAATATTAATAAAAATTTCAAAATTGATTCAATTTTTACCCCATAGAATAAGTGAAACGTTAAATTAAATTTTTTGCTAACAAAGAAATTGTTACCTTTAAATTTAATGGTCGATGATGATAAGTCATTAAATCCGTATATATGTATATATATCAACAAACATTTTTTCATTTCCGTTCTCTCCCCTAAACGTTTCTTCTTTTTTTTTTTTTTTTCTTTTTTCTATTTATTGTCACAAATCGCACTTTGTGGAGAAAACACCTTGACCCAAATTTTGAACACGTAAACGCTACACAAGAGTAAACGTATAATTAAACTCTACAATATAGTAGCGAGAGTGAGGGAAATACATATTAAAAAAAGAAATCAAAAAAAAAAAGATGAAATAAAGTAAATGACTGAAGAACGACGACAGTAGCTGCAGTAATAAACAACAATAACAAAAAAAAAAAAAGATTCATATTTTAAACAACAAATAAATTGAAAAAACTATATACGCCTTAGGGGGTATCCAGCATTTCTCTTACTTAAACCGAAAATATATGAAAAATATATTACTCATGCATTTTGACATTGCAGCCTTATTTGGCTGCAGATTGCACTTCAATATCTTGTATTATACTAAAAATTGTAAATTTTATAGAAAAATGGGGCGGGATTGTAATTGGATTTGTTTCATTTGTGACGCAGAACTATATAACGGAGTTTGTACCGAATATGCTTAAAAGAAATGACCGAACAAGCAAATTGATCAAGTGCCTTCAGTTGTTGGTGATACTAATTATTTAATTACTAAATATCCACAATAGTTAGATAGATATACAGGTATCATTAAATAATTGACCAAGAGTCTTCAATTAACGGTGGTTTAGATTATTTAATAGCTGAACATCTAAAATAATTGGATGGACCTACAGACATCACTAATCAATCTCAATGTTTTCGGTTGATCAAGTGTATTCAATAATCGGTGATACTAACTATCTAAAATCTAAATATACAAAATAGTTGGAGGGACAGACATCATTAAATAATCTCAAAATTTTCGCTTAATCGAGAATTTTTAACTATCTGCGATTCCTAAAACAATAGGATGGACGGACAGACCTTTTTATATAAGTTCAAGATTTTCAATTAACGATGATTCAGTACATCTAATATGTGAATCTCTAAAATAATCGAATGGACGACTAGACATTATTAAATAATCTCAAAATATTGGGCTGATCAAGGATTGTTGATTTTCGATGATGATACACATTATCTTAAATCTAAATAATAGGATGGACGGAGAGACATCATTAAATAATCTCAAA